ATGGTCTCTTGGAGTTCCTTGGGCTAGGCCTGACAGCTCCCAAGTAATGCCAGCCACAACATTGTGAATTCCTCAGGGAGGTGCCAGTCATCCTCTTGTATCTCCCACGCTCCTCAGGAGATGTAAGAAAATGTTTTTCTCCCTGACCCTGGTCTTCATAATTCCATTCCATCACAAAGAGGCATCCATGCAGTTTCCCTCCTTTCTTCCTCAGTTGCTGTATATGCAGGAGAAGGCTTGACATTGGGGTGCTCTCTCCAGTCAGGGCCCCCAGCTGGGGTCAGAGAGCATTTCTCCTGTGTCCTTCGGACACCCCTGCAAGAGTAGCATTCCCAAGGCTAGTGCTCATTGGTACGTGGAAATACTGGGGGCTCCAGGTCTGTCAGGGTACTAGAAGGACTCAGAATCTTCTCTCCTTGTGCCAGGTTACTTTCCCAAAACAAACTTTGAGCGTCCAGTTGCCTTCTGATGCTGCTTTGCCTTGGTTGCAGATCTTCCCTTGCCTTCCAATTTGATACAGTGACGATGGGCCTGTGGGAGAGGCGAGGGAAGGGCCTGGGGTTTCTGACCTGAGCCTGTCTTCCAAAAGAAAAGGCAAAAAAGGAGATAAGAGAGATGATCTGGAATGGTGCCATGTGGGGGGGAGGAAATCTGCATGTCTCCCTGAGAAGAGAAATGGAGGACACTGACTGGCAAAGGGAAAGTAGAGACCTCTGTGAAACATTTTTTGGAGCAGAGACTTTCTCAAAATAGTACCCTTTATTCACAGTTTGCACCCCACCTGTGCCCTATAATCAAGTTCAGATTTCACCAGTCTTCTAAGAAATTGATATTTTGGCCTCCTCGCCCCAGCCGTCTCTTCTTAATGGTAACCACAGCACTCAGCAGGGCACGTTGTAAAATTATTTGATTGCAACGCTCAAAATTGCCAATAGACCTGTCCCCTCAGTTCTGCAGAAGGGGCCGTACCTAAGCTGAATTGCAACATGTCCGTTGACTCATTAAGTTTTCATGGATTATGTTTAGGAGGTCTTGTAACTCCCGGCATAGTCCTTTGCTTCGGTTTTTTTTGTCCTGTCAGAAAATAAGATTTGGATTTCTTTGGATAACAACAGCCTTGATAAAAGGGGAAGGACAGCATCCACGTTTATTACAGAGGGGAAATTTTATTTTCAATTCTGCTTGCACTCCTGTATCCGTGGGTGGTAGATTCCATTTCAACAACATCAGGGCTCATTCCTATATGAACCTCATAGTTCTGTCCTTACCACAGATCAATGCTAATGTTAATCCTATAGATTCCGCATCAGTTGTGTACCAGAAATTCTGCAGTTTAGGGCAGAGCATCTGTTCTGCACAAAGAGGATCTCAGATTTGATTCTGACCATCTCCAGGTAGACCTGAGAAAGAATCCTGCCTAAAGCCTTGGAAAGCCACAGCTGATCAATGCTGACCCAGTGGCCAGACTTGGTATAAGGTGGCTTCTGACCTTCTCACGATTCTCTTGGTCCTGCCTAGGTGTGCTTTAAATACTTCTGTCGCTCTTGCTGGCACTGGAAACATTCCATGGAGATCTTACACCACCACCGTCCACTGATGCGCAACCAGAAGAACCGAGACGCCAGCTAGAGCAGCGGCTGAGAGCTGCTACCGTTTGCAGGGCAAAGCTCTTCTGTTTACTTGCCACAGGGAAGAGAAGCCCACCGATCCTAGTTGGTGCCACACCCAGGCTGGGGGAGATGCCCGTCTGAAGGACTAACGGGGAATCTTGCCTTCACGTTTGCACTTGCTGGTCTTTATTTGTTTCTGCACTAATGCACAGTGAAATTTTTTTGTCGGGGGTTTGTTTGGGGGTTTTTGAGAGGGGAGGGCCCCTCAAACAATTCTGCAGTTCCCAGACTTTGGTTCCTTGCTTGCTGACAAGAAGCATCGAGGGACCATAGGTTGAGAAGGTGTTGAATGCAGATGCCTTCACCTCAATTTCTTATTTATCAAGGGCCCTTTTTTTACATTTCTTGCAATACTGATGGTAGAATGCATAATAATGCAGGTCTCATTGGCTCCACTTTGTTTGCAGTTGCCATACAGTGCCTTTCCATTCGTTTAACCTTCCCCCCCTTCCCCATCTGAACGGAATAAACTGAATGTTCAGCTGGTGTTTTTTACTGTAACAACAAGGAGACTTTGTTCTTCACTTAAAACCAAAATCATATTTCATATTTTACGCTCCAGGATTTTTACCAGTTCCTTTTTACACTCTTGAAATGGTTTTTAAGTCGTTTGAGACTAGATTTTTTTCTTTCCTGGCAGCTTTTAACATCATTGCAACTTGTGTCTGGGAGCTGTTAGTTTAAAAAAAAAAAAAAAAGGTTTCCCAGTTGTGAATAGCAGTATTTACAACCCGAGAAGGATAGGATATTTTGGATTTTGAAACTGGACCGGATAAATGGACCTTTGATCTGCTGTATATAGTTCGTTGCACTTTAAGTTGCACTTCAGGGGGCTTGATAAAGGTTTTTAATCACAAAGTCACAAGACTTCAATTTTCTTTTTATATCTGAGCTGATTCAAGGGCTGCACTTGGTTGGGCCGCAAAGGTTTTACTAGGAGCCCTTTTCTGTTTTAGAGGGGCAAGACGCCCCCTCAGGAGCAGTGAGTGCAGCCCACAGATTGTGCTGGGAGTTGAAGTTTTGATTTTGTTTTATTTTTTTTTCCCCTCTCTTGGAAGCTGTGTGCCAAAGAACGAGTGTTATAAGTTCTCCCTTTTTCCTGCTGAGCTCATGTTGCATATTCCAGCTGCTCTTTGTGGGGTTTTTGTGAAGCAGTATGTGAAGTCTCTACCTCATTGTAGCATATGCAGGCAAGACTGCATTCTCCTACAGATGTGTGGAGTAAGCTGTGATGTAGTTCTTGGCACATAATAAACACGTTACAGCAGATCCTCTGGCTGGTGTTGTTCTTCAAGGCAGCTTGGACGTGCGTCAAAGAGGCTGGGGAATCTGGGTGCCATCATTGGTATATCTAGGCCAGTGGTTCCCAACCTTTTCTGTGCCCCACACCCCTAGGAAATGTTCGATTAATGTTCACACGCCCTCCAAAAGTAATATATTCGAAGATGAAGTCTGATTTCTAATGTGGGTGAATAAATTGAACTTTAAAAAATAAGCTTTTAACTCTGCATAAAATTGTCACACACCCTGGAATTCCATCTCGCACCCTCTGGGGGTGTGGGCACCCCAGGTTGGGAACCCCTGATCTAGGCTGTGAGAGAGGAATGGGAAATAGGCAGTGTTTTTAAGGGGTGAAAATCCACCACCCACCTGCTGGCAAGATCTCCAGAAAGGGCGGGACTGAGATTTTCCAGGCTGCTGTTCGGAGATTTAAGGATAGGAGTGGAGGTGGTAGGCCTCTGGTAAGCAAAGGACTTCTATTTCCACCCTGAAACGCCCCTATCACTCACCAACCCCTTGCCAAAATTGGCCTGGAAAACAGTAATGTTTCTTTTGTGTGTTCGTGTATGTGAGAGTGCCAGTTTGTATGGTGGTTAAAGGCATGAGTTCTAGTCCACCTTAGGCACAAAGCCGGCTGGATGACCTTGGGCCAGTCCCCCTCTCTCAGCCCTGGAAGCAGGCAATGGCAAATCGGTTCTGAAAATGCTGCCAAGAGAACTGCAGAAACTCATCCAGGCGGTCCCCAGGAGTCAAGAATGACTGGAAGGCGCACAATTACACATTTGTGTGTATGTGTATACATGCTCCTAAATTAGATGGGGCTTAGTGCCAAATGTTGGCAACACAACTTCAACATTGTAGGGAGCTGTGTGTGTCCCCCAAGTTGCCTACCCTGGATATTTGTGTTTATGCACAGCATAGAGAAGGAAAGACAATGCATAAGCCCCCCAAAGATTCCAAGCTTGCTTTGTTGGAACACCATAAAAAAACGGGAGTGCACCATCTCTCTTGCATTGCTGGTTCAAACAACATAACAAAAAAATTAAAATGCATACCCACACCAGTTTTATTATCAAATTGCTTTTCCTGTATTCTGGCACAATTGGGAATGAGTCATGGTCGTCTTTGTGATACCACTTCATTTAAAAGCAGACATGAATAATGGAACAGAGGTGGGCAGTTCATGGCTAACTTTAGAGCTAAAAAGGAAATAGCTTTAAGCCAAACAGGCCACCGACAGCTATGTTTGCTGGCGGCAGAATGCAGACATCGGGGACTGGAATGGAGCTACCTTGGAGGTGAGTGGCTGGAGCACCTTCAGAGGAACCTTGTGTAGTTTTGTCCCTATTATAAGACCAAGCTTTGCAGCAACGCAGTACTTGGAGCAGAATTCCATGTTACGTCCATTTGGTCTCTGTTACAGGTGTCTTCCATCCTTATAGTAAGGCAAACGTTTGGTTCTTCAGAGTTGGACAACAGGGTCTTCTGAGAACCAGATCAGCTGGTGGTAAGAAAGGGCCCTTATTAATATGCCTAAATCTCACTTAAAAGACCATGCCAATCTTCATAGACTTCTTTTGAATGCAATTATCACCCACCTTTTAGAAGGAGTATCACCACATTTCCATCAGAAGAACATGTGAATCAAGAATGAAACCACCTGAGGGCCAGAATCTCATGATAATGCACCCTAAGGTTACCATAATAAAATAGGGAGATTATGAATACATAAAGCATATTCCAATGCCTTCTCTGGAACAGTGTTTTCCTTGAGGTCTGCCCAGCTCCTGACCCGGACTAGTTTCAAGAGAGCTGTGAAGACTCGGCTCTTGTCCCAGGCTCTAGGCCAGGGTTTTATGTGATCCCGCTGTTGCATTTACTAATGGCAGACATTTTTCTCTGGCATGGCCATGTTAATATTTTTCATTCTTATAAGCTGCCCAAAGTAGTATACAAGTGTGTGGCCATAGAAATCAAAATTTTAAGTAAATAATTGGTTCACCCATTATTTTATAGTTTCAATTAGAACATTGTGTGCACCTTTCAGACTTGAATGAACTAAGTACAATCTTTGATTTTTTAGGTCTTGGGTGAATTAAATACAATTTGGCCTTCTATCTTAACTGAGCAGCATAACTGCATGAAAATGATCTGGTTGTTTAGATTTCGCTTGTGATTATAGTTTGAAAGGACCCACATGGGAATATATTTCTGTGGCATCAGTATATATCTTTTTCTCAAACAAAATTGCTGTTCTCTTGATGCACTTTGATCAATACATCTGCTCGGCCTTTGGTTAAGATCAAGTGTCGAAAGCAGGACAGTGTTTATTGTATTGATACACGCGCAAGGCTAATGCATTCTGTTGTAATTGTGTTTTTTCAGCCTGAGCTGAAAATGTCAAGTCTTGGCTGTGGGAAACCCATTTCAGATCGTTTTAAGACTCCAGTAACTGCATAACTTTTTGCAGATTTGCAGAAATGCCAATTTAAATGCCAGTTTAAAAACGAGCTCTTCATAGATGCATAGAATATTAAGTCACATGCTTGTTACCTGGAGCATTTCAAAAAGATACAAAACACTATTTTAGGGACATCATGATGCTTTCTAACTTCTTGTTCCATGAAATCAAGTAACGGGGGAACAAATGAAAACTTTCCTTTGAGGACCGTTGAAATACTAACTCAACTGGACTGGAAGAATTACAGGTGAAGTGACGTATTTATGCACGAGTGTTATAGATGTCACCTGACTAAAGAAAAATTAATCATCTGAACCTTTATCTATCAAATTTATATGGCCGCCCATCTCACAAAAAGTGACTCTGGGTGGCGTACAACAATGAAGTAAAACAATATATAAATACAGTCGTTATTAAAAATATAAAACAGTCATTATTAAAATATTAAAATATAAAAACCACAAGGCACAGGAGAGAGTGAATATTAATCACAATGATAGAGCCATCTGGTTCACTGGGACCCGAGACCTGATGACAGAACCAGGTGTTGAGGGACTTCCACAACATTAACAGGGATGAAGCTAACCTCATTTTGGGGGGGGGGGGAATACATGATTAATTAATCTATTATTATAATGGGAGAATGAAAATTTTGTTGTCCAGAAAGAATGCTGTGATCTTTTTGTGTATTTTACAAGGACATGTACCTGAGAATAGAAAAGCCCCAACTCTCTTGTCCTTCTGGAAAGCAGTCAAGACCTGGCTCTGCCACCTGGCATGAGGTGAAAAAAGGAGCAACCAACCTTGGGGTTGGCTAGCACCTTGAAGATGCTCCCATATGTTAACATCTTACTGATCATCAACATCTTGGA